CCGGCCGCCAGGAGGTAACCTCACCGTCACCGTCACGGGGTCTCGCCGCTGGCAACAGCCCGCGACCCCGTCCCCCAGCACTCGTCCGCAGGACCGTCCGGCGCCCGGGTAAGGAAATACCTGGGCTCACGTAAGGATGGGAGCCGCGTGGATGCAAACTCGGGACCGTGGGATGGGTCCGGGGCATCCCCGAGGCACGGCCGGTGCCTCGGCGCCGAGCAAAGCCAGACTGCAGAGCCGGGGGTCCGCACCGGGGAGAGGCTGGGCAAAAAGCCGGGGGAAACGCAGGTTGCTGACCTCGTTGCAGGGCTGGGAGAAACTAAACCCAGTAGCATTTCCAAAGCCAGAAGCTGCCATCCAAATCCAAGGTCGCCAGTAAAACTGGTAACGGCTACAGATTGCAAAGGATCCCGAATAGCCCCAGGTTTTGTTTCCCTTCCCCAGGCAGGACGCAATGGAGCCTTTTTCTCTCTATGACCTCGGGCTCCTAACAGAAAACAAAGGTGTTCAAAGGATCCTCTGCCCCATGGCTGCGCAGCTCTGCCATCTAATCCTCGCCCTGGAACGGGAAGATGGGATCTGTCAGGCCTTTCCCAATTTAGGGGAGAATGCTGAAGAATTAGCCAAAGCCACGGAAGAACTCGCTTCTGTTGCAAGAAGGTAAGTTTGCTGGGTGTCTCCCGGGCAGATTTGGGGGCTGGGAAGGAGGAGGAAGGGATGGCAAAGAAACTGGCAGGGAGCCTGCCTCTCCCGCCTGGTGCTCCCTGCCTGCGCCCCGCTGGAAAGGTGGGAATGTGAGGAGGAAGGGACGGGGAACGTGACGAGGAAGGGACGGGGAACGTGACGAGGAAGGGACGGGGAACGTGACGAGGAAGGGACGGGGAACGTGACGAGGAAGGGACGGGGAACGTGACGAGGAAGGGACGGGGAACGTGACGAGGAAGGGACGGGGAACGTGACGAGGAAGGGACGGGGGAACGTGAGGGGGGAAATAGGACTAGGAAGGGAAAAGGAGAGGTGGGACAAAGCAGGGATATGTGCTTGGAAGGGACGTGGCAAAGTAAGCAAAACCTCAACAAGCAACGTTTAAGCTAAACACATCTTAAAATAGTAGTGGGGCAAGTTGACCGAATGCTTCAGTGAACTGGAGCCCAAACCCACAGATCAGGCACTGGCCGCTGGGTTATTCTGCTGTTACAGCTAGGACCTGGTAGGTAGACAGACAGTAGACACCCTATCTTAAAGTGAATTGCAGCCACTGCAAAAGGTTCTGAAACAGCGTGTGAATACAGCTAAAATCAGTTCAAGCCCAGTTAAGGTCTGGCGTGGCTAACTGTTGCGATAAAGCCCGAGACCGGCGCGGCATCCTTGCTGCTACCCGCCGAGGCTGGTACTCAACGGGATGGCGAAGAGCTGAGCCCAGCGGCTTCCGTCGCAGGTTGGCTGAGGAGTCCGGCGACGAGGTGTTCAAGGAGGAGACGCGTCCTGCGGCCGAGTCCCTCGTCCTGGCAGGGAGGTGCGTGCTGCTGGCAGCCTGCAAGCTCCAGGTACAGCCGGAGAACCCCAGCCACAGGGAGGAGCTGGCTGCGTCGGCAAAGAGGGTCTTAACAGAGACAGCGAAGGTAACGGCGGAGGGGGACGGTGCCGGAGTGAGAAGGGGAGGAGGTCAGGCTGGGACACAGCGGTGGGTAAGGGTGCAGCTGTAGGAGGGACAAGAGCTGCCCCCCTACCAGGACAGGGGCTGGGGTTTGGGGGAAGCTCTAGCTGGAGCAACGGCTGTTTCTTGACCATGTGCTCACTAGGGCAGGTCTGCTGAGCAAAACGCGCCTCTTCTCTTCCCTGCAGGTGTCATCTTGGCTGCACAAGGGATGAAATCGCGAACAGGGATTCCTGAGCTTTAGCCACTCTGACCAGTTTTTCTGCCCTTTTTTTCTGGTTAGATCCTTCAGATCGAAGATGCCGCTGGGGCGAGGAGGATAATTCAGGCTGCCAGCTGGCTTTTGGAGTGCCTGAGCGTGCTGCGGGATGCAGGAGACATGCCAGGACTGCTGGCTGCTTTCCGGGCCTTTTCCGAGGCCTCGCTTCTGCTGAGCCACCTGACAGCAAAGCGCCTCAAGGAACTCAGAGATTGTCCTCGGCAGAAGAGCTTGGCCCAAACTTCGCAGCTCCTTCAGAAGTGCATTCCTTTGCTCCATGCAGCCAAGCACAGCCATCTTAAACACTCATGGGATTGGCAAGTCAACTTCTCTAAAGACTACGCTTTCCAGCTGACGGAGAGGACCATCAAAGAGCTCACTTCCCTGCTCATCGACAGTACGGGCAGCAAGGAGCCACGGGACGGAAACGGGACCTTCTCCCAGCACCTGAGCAGGCTGCTGGCTCTCCTTTCTTGCCCAGACCCAGCGCACCTCTCCGACAGCGAGTTCAGTGCTCACGTGGAAGCGGTCATTTTCTACTGCATGCTTCTAGCAGACTCGTCCAGGCCAGATCTGAAGCAGGACCTGGTAAAACATTGCTGGGCTCTGCTACGGCTGAGGAAGAGCATCTGCAGCCATGTAAGCCAGCAGGAGGGATGGCCAGGGCAAAGCTGGGGAGAAAGCCTGGAGAAGGAATGTCACGCCATGAGAGAGGAGGTGGAGACTCTCGACCAGGCAGTGCTCACAGCTACTCTGTGCCGAATCCTCGACACCTTCTTTGAGGGTAAGGAGCCCCTGAGGCGTTTAGTTGAAGATGCCCTTAGCCTTGCTGGTACAGGGTGTTTTCCAGCAGGACAAGGAGGATTTTTAAAGAAGCTTCAGCCCCTCGCTGCCACCTTCTTCACACACGCCCAGCAGATGCTCAGCGTGGCAGACTTTGTTCTGGCCAGGTGCACCAAAACCCAAACCGCTAGAGAAATCGGAGAGTGGGTGGAGTATTTGAAGAGACTCCTTGCCAGTCTCCCTCCACTGCTCACAGAAATGAGCAGAAATACGGCCCAGATGAGCGCTGCTGAGCAACTGCAGTCCTTGTACCACGCGTGGGCTGGAACAACGGAAAGCCTCTTGCGGTGTTTTGAGGAGACGGTCGGCATGCGTGAATTCCTTAAGCTCTCCGTCCAGGAAATGGCCAAGCACAGGGAACGGTGTGAAAAGGCCCTGGAAAGTCAGGACCCTGAGAGGCTCTCTTGGCATGCAACTCGCCTCACCAGTTGGGCTCGGTGGGTGGT